TTAATTAGATCGGCAGCTTATTAAAAACAGCAGTCATAAAAATGTATTGAAATTATGTTGTCTCATTTCGTTTGTGATGAATAATTTGATAATATATTAGTTTGTTCGTGCTAAGCAAAGCATAAAATTAGATAACTGAAAAAGTGTTTGGTTATTTTTTCATATCGAAAATTTTGCAGTAGTAAAATTAAAATCAACCAACCATTCCTCTTTCAAGAGCTAATTTAATGAGGTACAACTCTTCTGTGGGAGCCCAACCTTCAGCAATTAGACAGCGTTGTGTAACATCGAAATTGAAGCAATTTAACGCACTGAAAGTTGCTTTCATTTTCAATACCTGAAATTGACATATGAAAATGACTAATTATTACTGGCAAGTATAGTTATGCCGTATTTCTTGTCATTACTGAAAGTAGTTGCCATATGTCATAATTCTTCAAAATTTATAATAATTTCTCGCAAAGTTTTCATCGTATCCAGGTGTTTCTTAATTTCAACCCAATTATATATGTCAATTTTGATGTACAAGAAATTAAATAAACTCATAACTCTGTGCAAAAATAGAGTTGTTTACAAATATTACTACAAACGGTTTACAAATATCCTATAAAACTTGAATTAATTTTACAAACTGAAATTATTGATGCTATACAGTAAGAAGCATAATGAGTTTGAAACTGCAGTGAATCCATTTTCATGTTGAAATGTATATATGGTTACGTAATCCGAGTGGAGAATGATTCTAAAGAAGTTTAATAAACCTGACTGTCGCCAGTAATACTGGAAGAAGCATTTAAATACTTCAGAAGAAATAATTTTCATGAAAAAGAGTCTTGCAAAATTTTTCTAATTTTCTGCAAATTGCTTGAAGTTAGAAGACTTAAGTAAAATACCTTAATGAACCAAGTTCCATGATTCTGTGCTGTTGCTTGCAACACTTTATCCCTATGCTGAAACGACCTTTCGAGAACAGCTTTCATGTCTTCAATTCTTGCCGTTAGCTTCTCTTTCATTATTTTGCGCTCGGAAACTGTATTGGGATAACTGTAAACTTTTGCACGGAAACTGAAACTATTCAACAGTAATCAATTTATTTGTATTAAAGTTATATGTATTAAGCAATGACAAAACAAAATTAAATTTATTATGACTAAAGTTTGCAGATAAATATGGTAACATTTTCCAAACAAAACAGAAAACAATTAAAAATTACTGATGCTATGGGATGACTTTTTTGGCAAGTTAATACTTATGCCTAAATATTAATTTTTGGACGTTCGTTCTATTCAATTCTCTTTCAAAAAATGAAAAATTCGGAAATAGCCTAAAAATCATCTCAGGATATGATAAATTCATAAGAGTTGCGAAGCTCACCAATCACAGATTCTCTTCACGCGCCTGCTTAATTCCTCGCCGAAAAAAACCGTTACAAAAATCACTTTTTCAGATGAATCGGTCTTGAAACACTTTTATGTGGTTGCTCATAGAATGCGTGAAAAATAGAAATCAGAATTTTCAAATAAAAAAATAAAGGAATAAATTTAATTCATCATTAACATCAACTGATCTCATCATCTTTTGTTAACAAATTCGAGTCAGATTTTACATACTATTTAAATAAATAGACAGTGGACTGTAATAAAAAGAATCGTATGCTCTTTTGTTTCAAAGATGAGGAGATGGAAAGCAGTGAGTTTTTTTTGTATGAAACACACATTTGATACCAAACTATTTGAAGAATGCAGTTGTAAGCACGATCATTGAACGCAATTAATTTTTTAATAATTTTTAATTGACTGAAAAATATTCTAACCAAAAACTTGTGGTCTAAGTCCTGTAAATCAAACATTCGGACGAAAACATTGCCAAGGCACCATCTCCATAAAATACGTTCAAATGATTGGGCGTAGTTTCGGTGTATAGTTCCAGCAAGAAAGCTGTAGCAGAGGTCACGTATTAAAGTTCAAAACTAAATTATTTTTTTGAGCTTTCTTCCTTTTTTAATGACATTTATTGGATTTAAGAAATGTCTTCACTCTTCTGTGAGTGTCAGTTATAAACTACATATATCAAAATGTCGAATTATGAAGCAAAAATGGGGAGGTTTAGTGATGTTAAGTGTTTTTTTTGTATATATAATAATTGTCTTTTTAACTCGTCGAATGTGTGAAATTCTGCTCCATACTTTTGAGTAGAAGTACTGCAAAGCAAAGTCTACCTCAGCTCTTTATATGCTTGAATTCAACTCAAGTAATCATAATAGTAGCGTAATAGATCTGTCTATGTAGTTTCTTATAAAATTCAAAAATTCAGATTCAAATTTTCAGCAATGCCAAGTAAGTACACGACATGAAACTGGGAAATGATAATTTACGTTTACCTGACTTCTTTGAAATCCTTTTTATCTGTTATTTCTGACTCAATTGACGCAATGGTAGAGGCACGAATTTTACCGTATATTTCTCCGTCTAGTACAAACGGTCCAGAAATACCCTGTTGTGCATCAGTCAGCTGCATCCGAGCTTCTTTTTCATGACTCTTGAATAAATGAGGACATTATTAATAAAAACATTGAGTACATATCAGTTGCTTATTTAATATGTCAGTTTCTCACTCATTGCGAGCAAGTAGAAGAACGAAAGAAAGTACAGGAATGATTATTATTTGATACTTTCTAGTGATCAGCATTTTTACTTTCCACTAGACTTAACTCTTTCATACTTTTATCCCATATAAGCCTTGATAACTCAATTACTTTGATTTACCGCAGATTCCACCTTGCAATCTGTAAATGACCTTATAATGCGACTCCTCCTAAATTCTGGACCATATGTAGATATGAGTAAAATCATTGCGACCAATCATTAGAGTGATCATTTCAGATTGTTTGATATTATAGGCTTCTTTATTTCTACAAATCTATTGATGCAGCCTGTTTCGCTGAGTACAACCCAAAGTCGAGTTAAATGATCTCATCTGGATGAAGTGTACTGAGTGTACTCCGTCCTCATTTAGTTCATGCATTAGTCGTTGTATTTTGTTTAGCCTTTTGTCTATAATCTTATTTTTTCTACTCATTATTACATTCCTATTTGAAATACTACAACCAAATTTAACTTAATTTGGTTGGTTTATAACCAAACAATATTACCGTCCTTAATATTCTTTACTAAAATAAGAAGGAATCAAAGTTAAGTCTCAGGGATTTAGTGCAGGTATGAAGATGAAATCTATGTATATGTATGTCATGAATGTTTCGGTCAGCAGTCACTTATTTTCTCACTTTATGCGAGAGATACACATACATAAGCAGTGGCGACTGTTCTGATCTGATTGTAAACACGCATGTATGTTTCACTCATTTTTGGCAATGAAGTTAGCTGATTTGTTGGATAAGAATCAAGAATAAGAGGTTAGATCAGTTTGAAATTCTAAGAGGGAAAAGAAATAAAAGTTAGTTCGGTCTTATTTATGTATTTAGTAAAGGAATGCTGCGATTAACTCTCAAAAATTTTTACACGCCAAAAGATAAGTAAACTGCATCGAATTATAAGAGACTACCTCATCAAAAACAGAAAGTATTCGATCCGTAGTTGCACGTAATTCTACCAGTTCTGTAAACTGCATTTCTAGTTGTTCCATATTTCGTTTTATTTCAAGCAACTCTTCTTCAATTTGTATTAACTTGTTCTAAAATTAACCTACAGAATGAAAAAGAAAATGACTCACAGCTTATTTGAAGTAATGTTATAGCTAATACTTTAGGGAAATTTAGCTTTGCTTGAATACTAGAATTTGTGGCAAATATGTTGATACATTCGACTCTAACTTTTTTTGATACTAATTATTTTGGAGAATTTTTCTGATAGCAGTCTAATATCTAAAGTTGCTCAGCAAATTTCATGTTTGAAAAAGTATTTTTTAACTTTGCAAACAAAATGAAATCACGTCCAATAAAATACGTACTCCAGTAATATGATAGTCAACTTTAGTTCAATTTTTTATTTAACAAAGTTTATTTTTCTATAATAAAATGAAAGAGTTCCTCATTCATTTGAAATAAATTAGTGAGATGACATATACTTCAAATGACGTCTGATTTGTTTCAGGAAAATTTTGCAAAGGAATTGCATTCAATACTTTATATTGAAAATTATTGAGAAAGAAAGAAACAGAAATGAATGGTACCGAATTCAAGATAGAAAAGGAATTTTTTAATGCATAGAAATTGACTTACTTCCATTTCAACTATATCTTTAGGTAATGGCGCTGGTACATGTCTATCTACACTTGGTATGTGTATACTGTATTTTTTCAATTCGGTCTCAATGTAACCTAAGACATATTTTCATGTTCAGAAATACGATGACAAATTTGCAAATCTTTTGCTAAATAATTTATTTGTAAAAATAGCAGTTTTTTTTCCATTTCCGCAGTTCATCAACATGGTTTACCATTGGCTTTCACTCTTAAAATTTTTTAACAAGCATACGTAAGATCCGTTCCATGTTATCACAGCGTCCAAGTTCATTAGTGAATTTTCGTTGGTAGACATTGATTTCTGGATTTAGCTACAACAAATTAATGTTCAGCTCTTAATTTAATTTAGAAATTATATTGAAATATCAATCATCACAATTTTGAACAAAATTGGTTCTTTGAAATACGACTTCTCATGACCACAATTAGCGCTTTTTTGATTGGCATCACTAAACTACAATTATTTTTGTTCGTGAGTTTTGTTGGCTTTATCATAGATTTTTGTATTATAAATGTTGCGGAGAAAAAATTTAGAAATTCATTTTTTTTGTTCTAGAGAAAATCAAATTATGACGAAAAAATCATAATTTTCATTTCGTTGTGTAGTTAAGATTTTCGCCAGCACTGCGAGTTATTCTCTTTTCTTGCTGTCATCTCAATCGAATGCAACATCAAGAAATACTTTGTAGTGTGGAGCGTTTTACTCATAGTGTCTGCTAAGCTTTGCACGCTCACAAATGAAAATAATAGAATTATTTTTTTAAATTAATTATGAAGTAAGTAGTGACGGCTTGGTTGAATTTTAATCCAATTGTTTTATAATGAGTTTTATTTACAATAAATTAGAAAAGGATTTAAAAATAATGACTGACATCGATGAATTGAACAAGTTCAAGTTCTCCAAGTTCCGCAACGCAACAATAGGCTGAATCCGTTTGTAGAAACATCTGCACCAATGACATCTTTTCACTTCGCAGTAAAGATCCCATTTTCTGTATTTCTACTTAAATGAGCACAGAACTTTCAGGAAAGTAACGCATACATATCAGTAGAAATAATCGTTTATACATTTAATTTCTTCAGTACATAATTGAAGGCAAATGCTAATTTTGTTCTTTTTTTAAAGTAATCAATATAAAACAGAGCGATTATTTTTTGAAATTCTGAACATACGATTTTTAGATGCTAATAAATGATATTTGAAGTAATGGAGCTTCTGAAAAAAAGCAAATAATTTTCAATCACAACAGCCAAATGGCAATGGCTGTAATGAAAAAGTACGTGAATATTTTTCTTATCACTTCCAGCTTTGTTATCAGCGACAGTTGTATGAATAACTCCTCATCTGCATGACTTTTCCCAACTGATAAGTATAGTATTTTTTTTACTGTCAAACATCATATTAGTAGTTGCTATGTATTTGTCACGGTTTTTTCTAAAATAACCAAGATTTTCGATTCGTGGTCTTGAAACACGCAAACATATCATCATAGGTAGCAATGAAGTTAGTGATTTCAGATACTCTTCATTACAGTTTCCAGTTTCTGAGAAAGCGGTATGCATAGTCAGTTATTTCTGTTATATTCCATGTACATTCACTCCGTGCTTTACTTTTCTCAATTACCCGCCTGACTCGAAGCACAATATAAGAATTACACTGAGGTAATGGAGAGTGAGATGAGAGCATTGATTGAGAAAGAAATTGGCAAGGATAGCCATTCATACGATTAGTGTATGTCTCGAAATTATTGATTGATATTTGAGTGGATTTGTTGCAATTGGCTTCAACATTTATTTTGTTTGTGAAAGTCAAAAAATGAGAACAGGTGGTTTGTTCAAAGAAAACAATCAATCACCCAGTGAGACAGTATTTGAAAAGAAACGCCAACCGCTCTCCCTCAATGGCCAGACAATAATGCATTTGCAGAGCTACGCACGAGCATATTGTCTCACAATCTTTGATCTCAGGTTTCAATTCGCCCCCAGCCATCACCCTATGTATGGCAACTCATAAATTATTCAACACTCATTTCTCAACGATTTCAGAAATTTGTCATTCGCATATCCTCGGCACTCTTCCTCGATGGAAATCTTTAACCAAAGTCGAAAGATCTATCTACTCAGCCAAACATAGATATATATGTAAATGTGCTGGACTTAGTCATGGATTTGGTATAATTTAAACACGGGAAAAAATCAGAGGAAACTTTTGTACTACACTCAATGACCGAATGATTAGTTGAAAGAGGCAATAGTACCAGAAACTGCGGATGACCGCTGAGATGAAAGCACCAGTTAAGTTGTGTGGAGGGTTTTCTTTCAAGACGGATTTAGCTGTGAGAGTGAATCTTTGCGCAACTCTGCAATATGACACAAACTTTCCCTTCACGGAATGAAATTTACATGTATAAGTGATTTGAGCAACAATATAGTGCAGCTACATATATACGGAGTTGAGTTAGTGACGGTGCATGATGCACCTTACTGCTTTTATGAATAATATTCAGTAAGTAGATTGATGATGAGAGTTTTTATGAATAATATTCAGTGAGTAGAGTGATGATGAGAGTTGCTTGCAAAAGCAAGAAGCCATACACGTATTGTTTACTCGATTATTTTATGCAAGAACCCTACAGTATTTATACATAATATGTATTGTGGGATGTTTACATATATTTTGTATTGTCTTTTGCATGTTTTTTTGTATTTCTGTATTAATCGCAGTCAGAAAACACCGCGAGGAAATGAATGAAATGATTTTCAAATCCATAAAATACAGTCAACATTCAGAGGTAAACATAAGGGAACAAAAAATTGTGTCCAGTGCCAGTACGTATGCAGACGCTTAATGAATGCCAAGAAGAGGAAGAGATTCTTACCAGCCCATGTCGTGTGAGATAATCATGATGTGGATATTATTTAGCTGTCAGACGAAGATAGGATATATTGTCAACTTGATATTTATCACTGTCAATTTAATCGCAAACTCAGTGAAGTTCTGCCTAGGAAATTGACACCACTATTTCACCAGCTCTTTGGATTGTAATCACAAAAATTATATAGAATTAAGAATCATGAGAAATTGGAAGGAGATTTGGTGATGAACTTCACGATTTATTGATCATATAATACATACTACACATATTAGCAGCTTCTTAACAAGTGGATAAAAAAAAGGATAATGACAAAAACACAACATCCAAACAAAATTCACTGATATTTGAGTAATCACGTGATTCAAATTCTCTTCATAATGATTAAATCAAACGGCAATATTCCAGAGTGTCAACACAAGTTACTGCTTCAGTTCCAGAAATTATTAATGTTTCTGTTGACCAGTAGCAATTTCACCTTGACTCTGAGAAAAATTTCTGTGGATCATCATCGTCTGCTTCATTTGCCTGTCAAGATAAAAAATAGATTTAACAATCACACCATTTATTGGAGGAAAATTTCGTTTCAGTATCACCCTGTGATACTGCAAACTTCTACAAATTACATCTTATTTTGCTAAGACCGTTCAAATTGCTCGCTTCCTTTTAAACTTCCAACTTCTGGCCGATATGTGCACATTACAAATTCAGAAGTGCTT